ATTAGGCGACATACCCCTCATGTAGCCAATCCTCCAAGAGCTTACGGAGCTCTTCTTACAGGGGCTACTGTAAGCTCTTGGAGGATTGGCTACATTAGGGGTGTGTCGCCTAATATGCAAAGGAGTTCCTGCTAATGCTAATTTCCAGCATTAACTTATTATTATTAACGACACTGACGGTGCATCTTGCGGAAAAGGGACAGCCATCTCTTATTCATCTCTTATTTATTATTAACAACAACGACGTTTCTGCTTCCCCAAATAACACCTGGTGAAGAGAGTCACCAATTATTGTTACTAATATGGATCATGTGATCTAATTTCCCCCAGAAGACCTTGTGGGGAGGGCAGAATTGTCTTGTATTAAAGAATTCGAATAATGTTTCTGTTTCCTCAGAGAGAGAGAGTCTCATCTCCTTCGAGCAAGGCGAAGGGCGTAGGGGGGACAGCCCAGGACTCCCTAAAGGCCTAGCCCATCTCTGACCAGACAGAATGTGAGTCCCCCTTTTCTCTACCATCAAGAATTCGAATAATGTTTCTGTTTCCTCAGTCTCATCTTTTTCGAGCAAGGCAAAGAGCGTAGGGGGACTCCCTAAAGGTCTAGCCCATCTCTGACTAGACCGAATGTGAGTCCCCCTTTTCTCTACCATCCACCTACCCACCCAGAGGGGCACCTCAGGACCTCCAAGTGGGGGGGGGGAGGAAGGAGAGCACCCCCAGCACCCTCTCCCCCCCATGGAGCCATTGCTATTCTTCCCCCTCCTCTCTCCCCAAACCCGCCTAAGAGAGAAGGGGGAGAGAGATACCTGCCCAAGGGGAGGGGCTGCGAGAGTCCTCACCGGCGTCCGTCTCGCTCGACCTAGGCCTGCAAGGGAGGAGGAACAGGTTGATGACCGAGCGAAGTAGGCCAAGGCGACGGGACGCGCGCAGAGTTATCGATAGCCTTGCCGGCCCCCGCCCACCAATGGGCCGTCAAAGGGGGAGAGGGAACCATAGAGACAAACCGAAGCTAGAACAACGCAGATCCGGTCTGGCTTTTCCCCCCCTCTTTTTTCGCTTTTCGTTTTCAATTCAGTGTATAGCGAGACTCGGTAGAGAGGTCGAAGGACAAAGGGCACCGGAAATGCCGGTTGGGAGCTGTAACGAAGCTGTCCTTTTTTTCCTGTCTCTATGACCGTCCTGACAGGGACTTCCGGTGTGAAATGGAGGGACGGGCGTTCGGCGCTGAACTTCCGGATGTAGTGTGTTGCATGGAGAGGGAGAAACCTAGAGCGGTAGCGTGACCATAGATGGGATGGTGCGTAGAGCGGTACCCAGCGGCTCGCCTGGTTTAGAGAAAAGGCGTGAGCTGGAATCCCCTCCTAGACGAGCTGGTTTATTAGAAACAGGTTTTTGCTTTATTTTGTTGGTCTGGAGGCGTGCCTTGCTCGTCGATGTGAGTATGAATGGAAAGACACACAAAGGAAAGTCGGGTTTTCCCCCCCCTTTTCACCCGAACTTAGGGTTGCCAACTCAAGGCTAGGAAATTCTTGGGGTTTTAGGGGTTTTTAACAATTGCACATGAAGCAACAACAGCAAAAATTTCTGGTATTTTAAAATTTTCTATTATGTGCATTTATGATGTGTGTAATAATTTGGCTTTTTTCTCTCTCTCTTTTGACAATTCTGGAAAGCATCACCCGGTTCTAAAGAAAATCTTTGTTCATCTCTTTATTTCTGGATGCCTGTTGTTTTACAAGAGTAATATTGACCACTGAGGAAGGCCCAAAGGGGCCGAAAGGCATATGGGCTAGATATACCCATCAATTGTATATGTAAAACTTGCAGCTCTGTGTGTAAAAAGTTTTAAGTACCTTATTTGGATCATTTCTTTTAACCTATTTTATCTTTTACTGATGTGTACACCATAATAAATATTTGTATTTTCATAATAGCTTATTTTGGTAGCTTGACCCTCATATCACAGTTTTAGGGGTGGAGCCTGGAGGGGGGGTTGGAGGGGAGGAAGTTGACTGGGGACGTGATGCCATAAAGTTCATTATCCAAAACTAGGATGCCAGGTCAGGGTCAATGCTCCCTCTAAGCTGTGGAGTCTTGTGAGCAAAAATTCTACTTTGTGAGCTACTGGCATTAAAGTTGTGAGCAAGCGATTTGGCTACTGCATAAATTAGTTTGCTCTGGAGCCATCCTTCCTGAGCCGAGACAAAAATGTGTGAGCTGGAGGCTAAAAAACTGTGAGCTAGCTCACACTAATTCACACTAATTAGAGGGAACACTGGTCAGGGGTAGAAATACGGAGAGATTTTGGGGGTGGAGCCTGGAGACAGCGAGGTTTGGGTAGGGGAGGGATCTCAGCAGACTGTAATGCCATACAGTCTACCCCCCCCCCAAGCTGCCCTTTTCTCCAAGAGAACTGATTTTGGTTGCCTGGAGATCGACTATAATAGTGGGAGATCTCCATGTGTTACTTGAATGTTGGCAACCCTATCCAAAATGGATATTTTCTCTAAGGAGATTGCTCTCTGAAGCCTGGAGGTCCGTTGTAATTCCAGGAGAGGAGGGACCTCAGCTGGGGTGCCGTGCAATAGAGCCCTCCCTCCACAACTGCCATTTTCCCGTGGAAATTGATCTCTGCCATCTGGAGATGAGATCTCCACGCTCCACCTGCCAACCTCCAGGTGGGGCCCAAAGTTCTTCCAGAATTACAACTGGTCTCCAGACTACAGGGACCAGTTCCCCTGGAGAAAATGGCTGCTTTGGTGGATGGGCTGTATAGCATGATGGCCCCTCCCCGAACCTAACCTTCCCAAGGGTCCACTTCCAAATCTCTAGGAATTTCCAAGACAGAAGCTGGCAACCTAGGCTGTGCCTATAGCCGGCCATTCCCAAAACTGGGTCCCAGGTGTCTCTCAGGAAGGCCACAAGTCCATGGAGGAGGAAGGGCTCACACCACCTCTTCTCAGTGGCCCCACACAAAGTCATGAGATCATTTACAGAGAGCACTCTGACTCAGAGGGACCATGATGGAGATCTACAAAATCATGCTAGAAAAAGCAGATCGGGGTCTGTTGATGGCTATCAGTGATGATGGTTGAATGGGGCTTCAGGACCCAACAGCCTCTGATTGTCAGGTGGTGGGGAACAGTCAGCAGCCAAGGGCTTTGGCCAACAAACCCTGCTTTTCTGGGCTTCCCTGAGACATCTGGCTAGCCACTGTTGGAAACTGGGGTGCTGGAGTAAATGGACCACTGGTCTGACCTGTTGGCTGCTCTTACATTCAACCACTCTCTTGCCAGAGGAGGGCTAGGGGAGCACCAGGTGTTCTGTGGCTCAGTGGCAGAGCGTTTGCTTGACGTGCAGAAGGTCCCAAGTTCAATCCCCACCATCTCCAGTTAAAAGGACCAGGCAGTAGGTGATGTGAAAGACCTCTCAGCCCGAGACCCTGGAGAGCCGCTGCTGGTTTGAGTAGACAATCCTGATCTTGATGGATTGATGGTCTAATTTAGTATAAGGCAGCTTTCTGTGTTCCCCAGTGCAACACTGCACAGGCCCAGGGGTGGTTTGAAGCTGGGCCCTCAGGTACTACCCTTGCAGCATTAGCACACCAGCAGTGCACTGCCAGTCCTACACATCTCTGGTATACCAACCTTGCACACATCGTGGCTGAGGGGATGATTGAAACGAGACACCGGATGCACACAAGGCCGGGCAGGTATATGCCTCTCGCCTGCTTGTGAGACATTTAAATCAGGCCTCCCCCAGACTTCTTCCTGAAATAAGGGGCTGCACCCATCTCTCGCCTTCCCGTTGCTTAGGAGATGAAGGGGTTAACCCTGCCTCCCTGCTTAGTACCCTGATCTGGATGGCTCAGGCCAGCCTGGTCTCATCTCACAAGGTATAGATAGGAACTCTCAGTCTGGGGCAAGTGATGCTTTGTATTCCTGGTGCTGGGGGGGGGGCAACAGTGGGAGGGCTTCTAGAAAGGATATGATAGCATTGGGGAAAGTGCAGAAAAGGGCAACTCGAATAATAAAAGGGTTGGAACACTTTCCCTATGAGGAAAGGTTAAGGCACTTAGGGCTCTTTAGCTTGGAGAAACGACGACTGAGGGGTGACATGATTGAGGCTATTAGCCACATTATGAGAAATTTTCCCCCCACGGTTTCCCAATTTTTGGGAAGGTTACATCTCTATCCCCCTCCTTTTCCCTTTAGTTTTTGGAACGGAACATGCAGGCTTACGGAGAGCACCACAGACAACTCCAAAGTCTGCACACTGTTTTGTAACATGCACCGTTTCTGTGATATTTTTGTATTACATTACTTTCATTTCTGGAGTTTTGTCTGTGGACCGACACAGCTGCTTGCAACCTACACTACTGGAAGTCACCATGCAACACAGAGAGACTTGGTATGTTTTATTTACACAGCGGTAGACTTGGCCATACAGATTTGACCCTGACTTCTTATCTGTAGGCTAACCGATTAATCCTTGAGCTGGGGACGTCCTTGCCAGAGTTTGGTTCTCCAGACCCTGGCGACGTTTCTGAGGTAGAACACATTGCAGAAAAAAAGGGCGGGGGAGATGGTTGTGCCAGGCAAAATTAGATTTTTCTCTTCACAGTAACTCAACAGAAGCGAGCTATTCAAGGTCACTCAAAAACCAAAGTGAGAAAGGGCTTTTGCAGCTCGGTGAAGAAGCGGGAGCACGTTCAAAAAGCACAGCAAACTTCGGCAAAGTTCTTCACAAAGGGTTGGATTTGGCCAGCTTTTCTGCTGGTGAAAAACGGAAGAGAAGAAGAGATTGGATTTATACCCCGCCCTGAAGGAGTCGCAGAGCGGCTTACAATCTCCCTTCCCTTCCCCTCCCCACAACAGACACCCTGTGAGGTAGCTGGGGCTGAGAGAGCTCTTTTGAGAATTGCCCTTGAGAGAACAGCTCTGAAAGAACTTGTGACTGACCCAAGGTCACACCAGCAGCTGCATGTGGAGGAGTGGGGAATCAAACCCGCGTCTCCCAGATTACAGTCCACTCTCCTAACCACTACACCAAACTGGCTCTCCCTTGAACACAAGGAAATGGAGTCTCCCTTGAACACAAGGACAAGGCGATGTCATGGGTCATGGGGCCAGCATGTACGTGGGACGACTGCTGTATTCAAGAGGGGCATTGAAAATGTTCGAGTGAAAAGGGGGCCTGGATCCAACTTGAAGCTTTTGGGGTGACCTGATGAAAAGGAGAACAGCAATGGATTCTGTTGGAAGGACAGCTGCAGGGAAGAGTTTTATCCTTCATGCCCTGAAGGATATCTGACTAGCTGTTGTTGGGGGGGTGAAAGGATGCTGAACTAGATGGACCTTTGGTCAGATCCAGTAGGGCTGTTCTTAACAGGGAGTGCCTCTATCAATGGCTGGTGAACCAAGATAACTCCATGAAGCCTCCATGCTTACAGGTAGCCTATCTCTGAATCCGGGGCATAAGCAGCAGGGGAGGACTTGAGCCTCTATACCCTGCCTGTCCTGCTCCCGGAGGCATCTGGGTAGCCGCCATTCAGAACAGGATGCTGGACGAGTTGGACCTTCGGTGTGGTCCGGCAGGTGTTAGTCACAGGAACAGGGGATTCCTGGCCGATCCCCCTCCTCTCATACCCGCACGACCCTTTCCAAAGTCCTCCCTCCTGCACAACTGCAAAAAAGTAGTTTCCTTGCCACCGCCCCTTTTCATCTGGTCACCCACAAATCTCAGCCTTTGAAATGCTCCCAACAGCATTGGGTCACGCTACGAACAGCGAGAGACCCTCGGGCCCCGTAAAAGGTCCACGGCAGATCTGTAGCAAAGCACACGTTTGCTTCGGAGGAAGCCAGCCAGTTCCTCGGCTGCTCTCGCTGGGGTTCTGGCAGATCCGCCCCTTCACCTGGTCTTCATTCCTACATCCTGCACGCTCAGCGGAAGCGGCTTTCCCTCTTCGTAGGCAAAAGTGTCCATGTTGTTGTCCTCAACTTCCACAGCAGTTTGCCTTTCAGACGCTCTTTGGATGGGGCTTTCTTCTTTGGATAGGGGGACGTCTTCTCCCGCCAAAGCCTCTGCCTCGGTCGAGCTGTTCAGTGACAGGAGGTGCAAGCTATGTTCTGGATTGCAAACGTTGACCACACAGCTGATGTTCACATGCGTGCCACCGGTGCCAGGTTGCTCTGTGGGAGGGATGGAGGAGTAAGAGATGAAGAGGAGGGAGGAGAAGGGGAAGAAAGGAGAAGAAGGATGAGAAGGAGAAGACAAAAACCCTTGCGTAAAATGGAGAGGGGAACGATGCAAATCACTTTGGGTTGACATTGGAGGGAAAGGCGGCATACAAATGAATTTCAATCAGTCAATGTCTATCTCTGAACCTTGTGTCTGTCTTTCTTATACACGCCCAGGGAAATGCTAATCCCCACAGGAAGCAATTTTTCTCCAAGGCCAACTTGGCTGGAGGATCCTGGAGGTTTTTTGCCATCTTCTGGGCATGGAATAGGGGTCACGGGGTGTGTGTGGGGGAGGTATTTGTGAATTTCCTGCATCATGCAGGGGGTTGGACTAGAGGACCCCGGAGGTCCCTTCCGACTCTGTGATTCTATGATCTGCCTCCCTTACTTTCCAGGCCATCCCTTGCATCTGGCAAAAGGTCAGCGCTCCTCCTCTCCTGGCTTTCCACCAACTCTGCAAAAGTGAACTCTTCGGGAGGGCTTTCCTGTGCAGGGAATATGGTTACACTGCACCAAATGGTGCAAAATGGGTGTAATGTATTCAGCCTGACATGCCCGGACTTGCCCGGGCTGGCCAGGCACAATTCATCTGTAGCTTCAGTCGAAAGACAAAGGATCCGAAGGATCCTAGCCGTCCCAATCAAAAGGGCTAGCTTCCCAGCCGGGAGACCAATGGTCGCCCGGTTACTGTAAATAGCCTATCGGGAGTAGGGGGTGTGTTTAGGTACTTGGTGGCGGGTTTTCTGAATGCATATAAACCGGCCTACGAGCTGGTCAGTTGTCTTTGTCCTGAACTAAATAAAGGTATGCTTAGCTGAAATCACTCTCCGCCTGCATACTTTTCAATGGCTTTACAAATTTGCCTGGAGAAATGATGGAGGACTGCGGGCCATACTGCTGAGTTTAGCTTATCGTAAGCAGGATCCTATTTATGTAACTTCTTTGCCGCTTAACATGTCCTGTGAATACTTCTGCTGCGCTTCAGTTCTTTCCGATGGTTCCAGGCTTCTAAAATCCGAACGCATCAGTTACCGAATGTCCCATTTTTTTTGTGATTGTACTGGCTCCCTACGCGTAATCTGCCCTGAGTCCCAGCCAATGCCCCCTCTAAGCTGTGGAGTCTTGTGAGCAAAAATTCTATCTTGTGAGCTACTGGCATTAAAGTTGTGGCTACTGCATAAATTAGTTTGCTCTGGAGCCATCCAGTTAGGACAAAAATGTGTGAGCTGGAGGCTAAAAAACGGTGAGCTAGCTCACATTAACTCAGCTTAGAGGGAACACTGGTCCCAATGAGAAAGACAGACTATAAATAATGTAAATAAATAAATAAAATATATTACAATGAAATACAAATGACAATTTTCTGCTAAGCTCAGGCATGGGGTAACTGCTGAATTGGGTGGTGTGCCAGAAAACCTTGTGCTGTGCTGTGGACCAAAAAAAAAGGGGGGGGGAGATGTGTACTTTCTTAAGAGGAGGGGCCACTGTCCACATCTGCTGACTCAGCTACCATCAATGAGAGGCAGCTTCGAGATTCAGGCCAGGGTTGGAATGCAAACTGTGGAGATGAGCACAGAGATGTAAATACTAGTGACACACGCTCCTTGTTTTCCAATTTGATTTGGGAAATCCTTCCATCTATACCTGATGGGGGGTGGGCTCTGCTCCAGTGCTCCCTCTAAGCTGTGTGTGTGATTGGCCGCTCATTAACACAGGAGGCCCCGCTCAGCAGCAGTCTGGAGCCATGCAGGGTCTTACACTGCCCGTTGCCCATTTAAAGGTTACAGCAGTTATATTCTGCTCAGGAGGTGAACTGTTCCACTCAGTGTGGGGGGTGGGGGATCAAAGGGATCAGTATGGTGGGTGGGGTGGGCCATGATTGATGGTGCATGCTAGTAGTACTAGTGAAAAGGCACAGCCGTGTGCTATGGATGCTTCTAAGGAAAAGCACTGTGCAGGAGGAAAAGGAGGAGGATGCAGAATGGAGAAATGGCGGCAGCGCAGTAGATTCAGGACGGACAAAAAGGAAATACTTGAGCGATTAAAATGCGCAACTGGCTGCCAGAGGGTGACGTGATGGCCACAGGAATAAACAACTTTAAAAGGGGATTAGATAGATCCATGGAGGATAAGTTTATCAGTGCCTACTGGCCACGGTGACTGAGGGGAACCAACACTTTCAGAGGCACGAAGTCTCTGAATCCCAGAGCCAGGAGGCAACATCTGGGGAAGGCCACAGCCTCTATGCCCTGTTGTGGGTCCTCTGGAAGGCCTAAAGAAGCCAGGCTAGCAGTGATGAGGGCCCAGGGCCTTTTCTGTGGCGGCCCCTTACTGCTGGAATGAGCTCCCGGATGACATCAGGGCCCTGCGGGACCTTTTACAGTTCCGCAGGGCCTGTAAAACGGAGCTCTTCCGCCAGGCCTTTATCAGGGACCACCTCTTAACATCGAGACCCTGGCCCTCCAACATCAGCACCAGCTTAATATCTTCTAGCCTGGCAAGAATTCAGATTGTGGTAGCAATTTTACTATCTAGATGCTGAGACAACGCCGCCACCATTTATTAGTAGGATGTTTGCTAGCACTTGTTTGCACATGTTCTGGTTATAACTTTATTACTGTTTTAGTGCATCTCTCTGTTTTAATATATTTATGTTTATACATATGCTGTAAGCCACCCTGAGCCTGCCTGGCAGGGAGGGTGGGATACAAATAAAATAAATAAGTAAGTAAATAAATAATAACTGGTTGGCCTCTGTGTGAAGCAGGATGCCGGACTAGATGGACCACTGGTCTGATCCAGCAGGGCTCTCCTTATGGTGTCTCAGCCGAATTTGTAAAGTAAAATGAAAGACACATTAAACCAAGGCCACCGTGACGAGCAGCCTCTTACTTAAGTTTGCCCTGCTGTGGTAAACGCAGCTGTTCGACGGAGATGATCTTTGTCGACTGGTCTCTACTTCTTTATTGGAGTCCTCCAGATCGCCAGTTCCACTGCTTCTCTCCGACGCTGGCGGGTCATCCAAGGATCCGCTGCTCGACGGGGAAATCTTCAAGAGGTTCTCTTCCTCCTGCCCTGTGGTGCAGGAGACGCGTGCCCATTTGTCAGGTCCCTTTTCGGTGGATGAGAACGGCTGGAAGGGGACATGGAAAACCAGCCAGTCAGTGCTGCATTCAAGAATCCCAGAGGCCCCCTTTGCTACAATCGTGCCCGCAAGAAAAGCTGTGTGTCCATTTAGAGAATTTATATCCTGTCTTCTGACACACAGCTCTCCCGGCAGCTTATAAGCCAGATAATAACAATGCCAAAAGAGTATTAAAACCATGCAGTAAGGAATAGCCAGCCAGCAGCAGGAAAGAAAGACAGAGGAGAGGTTCTTTTCAGCTGTGGCCCCTCCAAACTATGGGATTCCCTGCCCACTGGAGGTTCATCGTACCTCACTCACCACCTTCCAGAAACCGTATTTTTATCCCACTCAGATCTGCACATTCTCCTCCAGGGCTCTTTTTGTAGAAAAAGCCCAGCAGGAACTCATTAGCATAATAGGCCACACCCAACAGCAGAAACATATTAGCATATTAGGCCACACCCCTGACAGCACAGCTCATTAGCACATTAGGCCGCGCCCCCATGTTACCAGAAGTGTGGTCATCCAGCCACACCCACCTTTTGCTTCTTATTCTGTTGACCTTGTTTGTTGTCAAAACCCAGGGCCTTTTTTTGTAGCAAGAACTCCTTTACATGTTAGGCCACACCCCCCTAATGTAGCCAATCCTAATGAGTTTCTGCTGTTGGGTGTGGCCTATTATGCTAATGAGTTCCTGCTACGTGTGGCCAACTCGGGAGCCAGCCGGAACTCCGTTCCTGTGCGTTCCTGCCCAAAAATAGCCCTGCTCCTCCCAACTATCTGCATTTGCAAATCTCTATTTTTTGGTGCGCCTTATGGGTAAATTTCCAATTCCTCCTCTATCGCTTGATTCTCCCCTGGAACTCTCCTTTCCACTGTGAATGTAGAGGCATTCTAAGCGGCAATGGAATATTCATGCAGTATTTTCCCTCACAGTTATCTTGCCCAAGCCCTATTCATGGCTTTCATTTCCACCCTCCTTAGTAGAGGGCTTTGGGGGGAGGGGAACCACCTGTAATTGACATATCCAGCTAGCTTAAAGTTGGCAACTGACATTATTCTGATGGTGATATGTCAATTACCTTTAATGTTTTTTTTAAGGCCTCTGTAGTGTGAGTTGGGGGCTGGGACAGTGAATGGCAGCAGGGCCCACAAAAATATGCAACTCCTCCCAGACAGGATTGAGTAGACGCGGGGAAAATTGCACCAAGCTGCGAGGCAAAATGCGGCTGCGCAGCAGCTTCTGTGAAATTGACACCTACCATTGAGGCAAAAGGGACGAGTTAGCCTGGAGCAGCGCTAGTGGGAAATCACCCTAGGACTGCAGTCTCTTTCAAAGCATCAAATCAAGCTGGGTTTGAGAAATTTCAGAGCAAAGCAAGGGGAAAGAGACGATCCGTGATGGGGGGGGTGTCCCCAAAATGACAGTACATTTTATTCCCACCCCAACTCTTGTGGACGTTATGGGTATCTTCAGCTATGACTGTACCTGGTGTAACAGTCTGGGAGTCTGTGGTAATATGGAGCTCCTTGCCTAAGTGGATGTGGAGCATTAAAAAAACCAAAAAATCTCTTCATGGGTGACACTAAATTGTTCAGGGTGGTGAGAACCAGAGAGGATTGTGAGGCACTCCAAGGGGGTCTGTCGAGGATGGGCGAGTGGGTGTCAACGTGGCAAATGGGGTTCAGTGTGGCCAAGTGCAAAGTGAGGCACATTGGGGCCAAAAATCCTAACTATAAATACACATTGATGGGGTCCAAGCTGGCGGAGACTGACCAAGAGAGAGATCTTGGAGTCGTAGTAGACAACTCACTGAAAATGAGCAATAAAAAAGGCCAGTGCTATGCTGGGGATTATTAGGAAGGGAACTGAAAACAAATCAGCCAGTTTCATAATGCCCCTATGTAAATCGATGGTGCGACCTCATTTGGAATACTGTGTACAATTCTGGTCACCACACCTCAGAAAGGATATTATAGCACTGGAAAAAGTGCAGAAAAGGGCAACTAGAATGATAAAAGGGTTGGAACACTTTCCCTATGAGGAAAGGTTAAAGCGCTTGGGGCTCTTTAGCTTGGAGAAACGACGACTGAGGGGAGACATGATCGAGGTTTACAAGATGATGCACGGGATAGAGCAGGTAGAGAAAGAAGTACTTTTATCCCTTTCTCACAATACAAGAACTCATGGGCACTCAACGAAATTGCTGTGCAGTCGGGTTGGAACAGATAAAAGGAAGTCCTTCTTCACCCAAAGAGTGATTAACACGTGGAATTCACTGCCACAGGAGGTGGTGGCAGCTACAAGCATGGACGGCTTCAAGAGGGAATTGGGTAAACGTATGGAGCAGAGGTCCATCAGTGGCTATTAGCCACAAGGTATAGCTAGGGACTCTCAGTCTGGGGCAAGGGATGCTCTGTATTCTTAGTGCTTGGGGGGGGCAACAGTGGGAGGGCTTCTAGTATCCTGGCCCCACTGATAGACCTCCTAATGGCACCTGGTATTTTTGGCCACTGCGTGACAAAGTGTTAGACTGGATGGGCCACTGGCCTGATCCAACATGGGCTTCTCTTATGTTCTTATGTTCTTTCTGTTCTCCATTTCCACTGCAGCTGGGAATTTCATCAGCTCCCGGACTTTTACTATTTGGATTGGGCCCCAGCACAGGGACAGGAGGAGAGGTAACCTTTCCCCTTGGCACAGTTTCCCAGAGACAAGGTCCCGAGCCACTTGAAGCCCAAGAAGGGAAAGCAAAAGGTCAGGCCACCTACGACTTTGAAGACAAACACCAGAATTCCGCACCGAGCCTGGAAACAAACGAGAATCCGGCGATAACCTTTCAACACTGCCGTAAGACGGGTCACAGCAACGAGTACGTTGATTCCCAGCCTCTGCATATTCCATGGCTGAGCTCATGCTGGGTCATTTCCTGAGGTCCGTTCTGGGAATAAATAGTGCCTTTCGCAACCAGCCCTTGGAAGGGGAAAGGCAGTGCTCAGTCTGCCTCCTCTCAGCTGGGAAAGCAGATTACTCATTAAAGCAGAAGAGAACGACACATTACACAAAGTTCTTTTGACAGACTTCGGAACGTGTCCTGAGAAACAGCCCTAGGGAAGGTCAGGGTGGAGGGAGAGGTGGTACCTGGATCCTCCCCTTTTAAGCAGCTGATTACTTATGGCCCCTTAATGGGCAGACTACACGTGGCCTTGGAGCTTCGCCACTGGGGTTGCAGAACTGGGGGAAGGAGCATTATTTTGCTCCCCTCTGCCATGCGGTTCCCCCCAATTTAAAATGAGAGGAGAAGAAGAGATTGGATTTATACCCCGCCCATCACTTGGAGTCTCAGAGCGGCTCACAATCTCCTTTCCCTTCCCCTCCCCACAAGAGACACCCTGTGAGGTAGGTGAGGCTGAGAGAGCTCTTTCAAGGACTGCTCTTGAGAGAACAGCTCAGAGAGGACTTGTGACTGACCGAAGGTCACACCAGCGGCTGCATGTGGAGGAGTGGGGGCTCAAACCCGGTTCTCCCAGATTAGCATCTGTGCTCTTAACCACAACACCAAACCTCTATCGTTGTCCTCCACCAAGAAGTGCAGACTTTTTTGTTTTGTTTAGCATACCCCCAATAATTGATATGGGCTCTTCTTTTGGCCCTTCTGTTTTTGATGTCATGTGTGTTTATATAATCTTCATGAGTTATTGTGTGTGCGTGTGTGTGCATATATATACACTTCCCCCATAGCCCAAAATGCCTAGCCCATGCCATACTCCCATTGAACCCAGCAGTGATAAACCTTATAAAATCTATCTATCTATCTATCTATCTATCTATCTATCTATCTATCTATCTATCTATCTATCTATCTATCTATCTATCTATCTATCTATCTCCCTTTTAATGTTGAAATGTTTTGATGTTTGCCATCTAGGGGGCCCTATTTGGGTGGAAAGGTGGCACAGAAATATTTTAAACAAATTCTCTTTTTTCATGCATGCATCCCTCTAAGCTGTGGAGTCTTGTGAGCAAAAATTCTACCTTGTGAGCAGGTGATCTGGTTACGGCATGAATTAGTTTGCTCTGGAGTCATCCTTCCTGGGCTAAGACAAAAATGTGCGGGCCAGAGGCTAAAAAATGGTGAGCCAGCTCACACTAACTCAGCTCAGAGGGAACACTGGTTAAAAGTAGCATGTGTGAATTCCAGCCTAGGAAGGAAAAGGATTATAGAACTCTCCCTGCAGTGGAAATAAAACTACTGCATGAAGAAGGCAGAGTATCTCCCTTGCCTTTAGAAGGACCCGGGTTCAATTCCCACCCACCCCCATCTCTGATAAAAGGATCCTGGATAGCAGGTGCTGCGAAAGACCTTTTTCCCCCTGCCTGAAGCCCCAGAGAACTGCTGGAGACCTCAATGAGCCGTAGAGGCCACTGGTCTGTATCAGAACAAATTCAATTCATATGATCTGCAGGGCGGAAAGTGTGCGCTTGGTTTAGCTTCTGGTTAGTTGAGGGTGAAGGCATTTTTAGAGAGACTCCGCCGAGGGCAGAGAAAGGATGTTGAAACGCACCTGTTTTTCACCCCCGAAGAGTTTCTTGCAGTGTGGAGCTGCCAAAGAGAAAACCCGAAAGCTGAAGTTAGCCGTGCAATGTAACCACAAACCTATCCAGGCGGTGAGAACAATACCGAGCCCCAGACCACATTCGCCTCTCACAGCTTGCCCAGTCTACAAATTGTCTCTCCCCCTCCCCGTGTCTAACTATGCATTATGGCTTTCCCCAAGGGTGCCTGCAGTTCGGGTGGGGGGGACAGGCTCCGAGGTTCCACACCGATTCAGATCGGGACCACGGCACGTGGAGGGGGGGGGGGCTCAGACATTCCCCTGCAGCCTTCAGTGAGGCATATAGCACACACAAACCCCCGTGCGCCATTTCAGGACAAGAAAACAGGGCAGCAGGGAAAGTCTAAGCTAGCTTTTTCCACGCACACCCATCCCAAACCAAACTGGGTGCGCACTTCAGCGCATCCTCGGAGGGAACATTTTTGGTGACCCTATGAATGAATGGGGGAGCTGCGGTGGCTCAAGTGGTTAAGACGCTGAACTGCAGGCTGTGGAAGGTCGGTAGTTCAGCAGTTCGAGACCTGAGTGTGGTGCATGACGGAGTGAGCTCCCGTCTCTAGTTCCAGCTCCTGCCAACCTAGCAGTTCGAAAGCAAGAAATTGCAAGTAGATAAATAGGTACCACTTCGGTGGGAAGGTAACAGCGTTCTGTGCGCCTTGGTGTTTAGTCATGCCGGCCACATGACCATGGAAACGTCTTCGGACAGCGCTGGCTCTTCGGCTTTGAAACGGAGATGAGCACCGCAACCCTAGAGTCGGATTCGACTGGCTTTCGAACAAGGGAACCTTTACCTTTTATGAATGAATGACCTTCCAAACATCCTATCCCTGACGGCCTTGCTCCGATCTTGCAGACTGGAAGCTGTGGCGTCCTCGACTGAGTCCATCCATCTCACCTGGGGTCTTCCTCTTTTCCTACCGCTTTCAACTTTTCCTAGCCTGATTGTCTTTTCCAGTGAGAGTGGGCGTTGACCCTTCCCCCATCACACCATTTCCCTGATCAAAAATGCCCCCTTTCTACCCCCTAAGCCAGTTGCACCTGTCTTCTCCCCTCCCCTGCGCTATCACGGCTTCCATGCTGGATCATTTGGAACTGGGGAATGGTAAGGGGCAGGGGAATCAGACCCCTCTTCCCCAGCACTGTGGCCATGATCAGGGGTCATTTAGTAGAAAAAGAGGTGCAGGAGCTCATTAGCATAACTCATTTGCATATACCACACCCCCTGATATCACCGGAAGTGCGCCAGAAGGCAACACCCACCGCTCAGAATCCACTGGACTGTTTTGGATTGCTAGCTATTGGGGGGGGGGGAACGTGCAGATCTGTCCTCGCAGAGGAGGGAGAGCTTGTACCTGAATAAAACGTGGTCTTAAAGGTGCCACTAGACTGTTCTGGACCAGGGGGCCGGGGGGAGCTCTGCAACTTACCTGGCTGCTTCTTGCTCTGACTAAGGGCTGCTGGGTGAAGGGGGTGGGGCTTGTTGCATGTGCCCGCCCCCTGGGCTCTTTACTGCCGGAGCTCTGCTCCTGTGCGCTCCTGCAGGAAATGACCCCTGGCCATGATCCATATCTGATCTCCACACAGAGCAGCTGCTTTTTGCAGCTGAATGACACATTGGGAAGGATCTGGTCATGAGATTGGATTGATACCCCGCCCCTTCACTACCCGAAGGAGAGCGGCTTACGATCTCCTCTCCCTTCCCCTCCCCACAACAGACACCCTGTGAGGTACGTGGGGCTGAGAGAGCTCTTTTGAGAACTGCCGTTGAGAGAACAGCTCTGAGAGAACTTGTGACTGACCCAAGGTCACACCAGCAGCTGTCTGTGGAGGGGTGGGGAGTCAAACCCGGATCTCCCAGATTAGAGTCCGCGCTCCTAACCACTACACCAAACTGGCTCAGTTGTCTGTTCCTTTGCTGGAGAATCTGGAGCTGGTCAACAATTTCTGTGCTTTGGATCTGAAGGAGGGGAGGGGCTGTGGCTCAGTGGAAGAGCATCTGCTTGGCATGCAGGAGGTCCCAGGTTCAATCCCCAGCATCTCCAGTTGGAAAGGAACAGGCAGTATGTGATGCGAAAGACCTCTGCCTGAGACCCTGGAGAGCTGCTGCTGGTCTGAATAGACAATACTGACCTTGATGGACCAAAGGTCTGATTCAGTTATCAGGCAACTTAATGTGTGAGGTCCACATGTGAAGGACCCTCACAAAGAACCCAAGAATCCCTTTGTTTTTAGAAAGGAATGGGAGGGTCAGGTCAAAGGATGGGGGACTAATTGCTGTGGACAATATCTGGTTTTGTAGATTTCTTTACAATGCCTTCCTTCCACCAAGGAAGACATTTGGGGCCTTCCACGCAAAGTGTGTGTATGGAGAGCTCCTTGTCGGCCCCCATTCACGCATCACCCAGACTTACTTCAGCAAACTGGCAGTATCATGGACCTCAAGACCTATCATTTTTATTATTTTCAGGTTCTTTGCCAACAGCTCCCTCTGCTCCTTCCGTGCACCCTATGTGGAATTGCAAAACATCTTTTAGGTCCCGGCCCTCCATCGTACCTTTTCTCCAAGAGACGATACAGCTAAAAGCCCCTATAAAGGCAGCCATGAGAAACAGGCCGATCAAAAGACCTGGAATCAAAACAAAACGAGGCAGAAGAAAAATGAATTTCCACACAAGGCTAGAAAAATCACAACTCCTCCTTTCCCCCCAACCTGGAAGTTCAGAGGCAGATTGCTCAATTCCGTTACCCAAAATTAGGCTTTTTTGCTTTCTCATTTTTCTCACTTGTGTACTCCCATTGCTCCCATTGCTTCGGGTGTGTGTGTGTGCGTGTTCTGTTCCGCACATATTTTGCTCCCTCTAGTGGTCAGTTTGATATTACATTGCTTTATGTCCATCATGTCTCTCCACAGATTTAAACTGCAGGTTTTTATGCCGGACACAAAGAGATGTAATATTGAATCGACCACTAGAGGGCGCAAAATATGTGCAGAACAGACCCCCCCCCCAAAAAAAAGAAACAGGAACACACAAGCCAAGAAAATGCGACTGCGGAAAAGCCCTTAAGGCAATTATCTTATTATGAAAGAGAGAGGTTTTTAAAACTATTATTCAAGCAAAGCGCTTAATAGATCTGCCCTTGCTCACCCCCAATAATGTAAGCAATGTCTGTAGAAGAAGGTTTCTGCCGGCTTGATTCAGTGTCCACTTTTGGAGTGCTGCTCACAGAGAGCTCCGGAGAGGAGGTCTTCTTGTCCTTGGCCATGGGGTGAGGAGAAGTGACTGGAATGGCACCACTGGAATTCTTGCAAACAGCGTCATGGCTGCTGTTTCCAGGAAGAAGCTCCAATTCACAACTGCAAAAGAAAAAAAAAGCAGAATAGGTTTGAAAGCAAAACTTTAAAATCCAGCAGTTAGGTCTCAGCGCAATACCAAAGGGAAGGAGCTTTGGCATGCAGAACAGAAGCCCCCTAGTATCTCCAGTTAAAGGATGAGGGCCTCTTTACATGTTACAAAGTGTGTGTGTGTGTGTGTGTGTGTGTGTGTGTGTGTGTGTGTGTGTGTGTGTGAAGTTGCTTCCAACTTATGGAGATCTTATGAATTGTTGTTGTTCAGTCGCACAGTCGAGTCCGACTCTTTGCGACCCCATGGACCAGATCACGCCAGGCCTTCCTGTCTTCCGCCGTCCTCTGAAGTTGGCTCAACGTCATGTTCGTTGCATCGATGACACTGTCTAACCATCTCATCCTTTGCCGTCCCTGTCTTCTTTGACCTTCAATCTTTCCCAGCATTTCCTATGAATTAATGTCCTGTTGTTAGCAGCCATTCTCAGGTCTTGCAAAAGGAGGGCTGCGGCTTCTTTGACCGAGTCCACCCATCTTCTCATTGGGTCTTCCTCTTTTCCTGCTGCCTTTAACTCTGCCGAGCATTATTGCCTCTTCCGGTGACTCTCATCTTCTTATAACGTGACCAAAGTACGATAGCCTTAGTTGAATCGTTTTAGCTTTCAGGAAGCATCCAGGCTTGATTTGATCTAGACATTACAAAGAGCTTGTGTTTATTGAGGCCCAAGCAGGAGGACGCTGAATCAGCCATTCCATTCTGGGCTTTTTTTCTCCTCCCATGGGCATCTCCTTCCACGGAGTCGCAAAGGGTTCCTCGGCCAAACTTACGTACATCCATGAAAGTAACTTGATTGTGCAAATGCAGCCAATGACGGCTCCATGACGTAATTAAAGGAGGAGGACACATGCCAGTCACAAGAAGAACCTGGGAGATAAAACTCCCACTGAACGTCTGAGTCAAAGTCCTCAAAAAATCGGGAAGGATCCTTCTCTGTCTGAAGCCCTGGAGAGCGGTTGCTGGTCCGAGTCGGCAGTGCTGAACCCATGGTGGCCTGACTCGGTACAAAGCAGCTGCCTATGTTTCCGTAGAGTGATTAAAAACAGTATTTCAAAACACATCTACAGTTTTGTGAACCATCTAATACAGGTATGTCCAACGGGTAGATCGCAATCTACCGGTAGATCGCAGAGGGGTCAGAAGTAGATCACCAGCCCCACTTGGTCTCCTGGTTTGCTGGACAGGTGTTTGGGGGGGTTTTTTTGATGATTGTTTGGTGGTATTTGATTATGGGTGCCAGTATGATGAATTCTTATTTTTACTTTTAGAACTGCATGTGTTGTTTTGGCGTCATCCAGAGGTCTTCAGTTCCTGTTGATCTTTAATACTTTGGGACAGTGACAGTTTTGGACCAGATTCAGCCAGTGTTTATACTAACCTAGCACCCCAGCCTTATTTTGCTTACCAGTAAATGACAGAAGGTGCATTATAAATGGGGGGCGGGGCGGTGGAACCCAACTTTAGTGGGTTAAAATCTAATTTGAAACAATTTGAAACTTTATTTTCATGGTGGTAGATCACCGGCACTTTTGGCCGGAAAAAATAGATCACTACCTGTTCGAAGTTGGACATGCCTGAAATACATTCTGCAAGCAAACCTGTGCCTTGTACATTCAGAGAGGGCTACGACTGTAATCTCTTGGAAACACAAGCAACACAGATAACTACAGTCCCTTCCACTGTCTGCATCTAAGTTTCCTCTGAATGGTGCAAGACTTTGAACTGTGCAACCCTGCAAGATCAATCTCTCTTTCTTTTGTTTGGGACAAGAACCATTAACTGCCCAGACAATCCTGTCTTTCATTAGACCTCACTGTGCATACTCCATTGTTCCATTCTTTTCTATTAAAGAGTCGTTTAAAAATTTTAGAGTATGTCAAAGATCTTGGTTATCAATGCAGGGCATGTTTTTACACAAAGGGATACAGATCTCACATCACATTTCCTGGGGTTGAGCCCCAGTGCTGCAAAGAGAGTTGCCAGCTGGGTCTAGCTGACTTCTATGCCTTTAACCAAGTGTCCAGAAGAAACGGAAGTCCTAGAGGGACATGACATCCCTGCTGAGAGCCCTCTCCTCCTCCCCAAACTCCAGCTTCCCCAAAATCTCAAGCCAGTGTTGGCATCCCTACTGGTGCACTGCAGAAATCAGCAGGTGCTTTAGAGCAGGAACTAAAATGCCATTTTCTATGACGTGCTGAGCAATCCACTAATAGCAATGGTGGCCACCCCAAACGATGACAACCCTAGTGGTGGTCAATTGCTTGGCAAGTTAACGAATTAAGCCATGCATCTTTATGTTTTGCTTGAGAACTCTGGCTGAGTCCTCCAGCACGCCTGCCAAAGATTGCCTTTCCCCTCCACCGTTCTGAACATTTTTGTCAAAAGAAAAAGAAAGGTCCCTTTGGCTTTCAATTCCCCTATCCTGTCAGTCTGACAAAGGCAACACCGTCTCTGTTAACACCTCTCCCCAAAAGGAATCAGGATGCTCGATACAGATCTGTGCAAAGAAAGCATAGGTGGGACCGGGGAAACTTACACCCTGTGGGGCCTGCAGGTGGCGTTGTGAGAGTCCACATCCGAAAACGTGCCCGGTTCGCAGGGCGCACACTCCACGTTACTGCTTTCCGTGCCTGCAAACATTTCCAGAGAATCCGCATTAGCCATTTGGGGAGCATGGCGGAGGAAGGAAAACGAGTCAGAGATGATGCTCGGGGTTCCAAGAATCCTGTCCAACCTTTATCACAGCCTTTCAGAGGCCAGGGCGTACCCCTTGAGCCACCGTATCTTGGAGGAAAATCACAGGCCTCCTGAAAGCCAAGTTGCTTGGCTGGCCCTCTGCCCGGCGCCTGCTCTTTCCCCACTGTGAGAGGTCACTGCCCCGTCCGGTCCTTGCGAAAGCCTCCCTTTCCTGTTAGTAGGTTTTGTCCAGGCAACATGGGGCCAGGCAGTGTCCACCTTCTTGGCTTTTGGGAACTGCGAAGTTTGCCTCTCTCTGACCCAAGATTTATTCTCACCTAGCCCCACTGGAAAAGTCTGGCCCTGCAAAAAATCAGGTCCTTGAGCTCCCCCCGAGAGGTCCTGCCCCAGCAAGGGATACAATGCCCTTCGTGTCTCCCTCTTCCACAATGCCCAGTCCTCTAACTTTTAAATTCACCCACACACATTATACTTATACTTTCCCAGGTATGTCCCCAGGTCTGGTCAACAGGTAAGGTCTGGGAGTTCTGGGACTGGAACTCAATTTCCAAGCCTGTGGGGGCATGATTTGGATCGGAACGAGGGTTTGAACTAGGGCTGCTAATTTCTGGATGGGGTTTGGAGATCTCACAGAATTAGAACTGATCTGCAGTCGACAGAGATCAGTTCCCCTGGAGAAAAGAAGAGAGAAGAGATTGGATGTATACCCTGCCCTTCACTACCCGAAGGAGTCTCAGAGTGGCTTACAAACTCCTTCCCTTCCCCTCCCCACAACAGACGCCCTGTGAGGTAGGTGGGCCTGAGAGAGCTCTCTCCAGAACTGCCCTTGAGAGAACAGCTCTTGAGACAACTGTGACTCGCCCAAGGTCACACCAGCAGCTGCATGTGGAGCAGCACAGAATCAAACCCAGCTCTCCCAGATTAGAGCCCGCACCCCTAACGACTACACCAAACAAAAGGGCTGCTTTGGAAGGTGGACTCTATGGCACTACACCCGGCTGAGGTCCCAAACCCTGCCCTCCTTAGGGTCCGCCCCCAAAATCTCCAGCTATCTCCAACCCAGAGCTGGCAACCCGAGAAACTTTAAGCCTTCACCCCCTCCATGCTGTTTTCCTGAGCCAAAGTGGCCACGAGGGGCCGCTTTTTGCTTTCCTAGGGAAACGTAACAGGGCTGTTTGTGCACAGGAAGGTAGGGTTGCCAGCCTCCAGGTGGGGCCTGGGGATCTCCTGCTTTTACAGCTGATCTCCAGCTGACAGAGATCAGCTCCCCTTGAGAAAATGGCTGCTCCGGAGGGTGGGCTCTGTGGCACTGTACCCTGCTGAGGCCCCTCCCCTCCCCAAACCCCACCCTCTCCCGGATCCACCCCCAGAGTCTCCAAGTATTTCCCAACCCAGGACTGGCGACCCTAATGGGAGGTCACTATCCCTAGAGTGGTAAATGAGGCCTTCTGGAGCTACTCTACTCAGTAGGGTTGCCAAGTCTGATTTTCGCCGCAGCGGGGGACTCCCGGCTGGTGGCTGGAGTGCGCGCGCGCGCCGCATCCACGTCACTCGGAAGTGACGCGACCATGCCGGACATGCTGGGGGCGGGGCCACGACCATCCGAGGGAAAACCATAGAGTTTTCCCTCAGATGACCGTGGCCCCGCCCCCAGCTTGCCCGTTGTTGTCGCGTCACTTCCGGGTGACGTGCACGTCGGGGTGGGGTTCCCCCGGAATGGGCCTCTGGGGCGGGGGTTTCCTCACCCTTCAGGGGGACTTGGCAAGCCTACTACTCAGAGTTGGTAAAACGGCAGGGGGGGGGGGGGGCTTCAGCTCCTTCTCCCTATATGCCATGGTCCCACGCCAAATCAGGAAACGACATTCAGGTCTGGAACCCCTGGACCTTGTTTGCTGACTGGACCTGGAGAAGGGCCTGGGGCAAACAGAAACATGTCAAGTGAAGCTAGGGTCGCCAGCTCTGCCTTGGGAAATTCCTGGAGATTTGGGGGTGGAGCCTGGGGAGGGCGAGGTACAGGAAGGGGAGGGGCCTCAGTGGGGTACGGTGATACAGAGTCCACCCTCCAAAGTGGCCATTTTCTTCAGGGGAGCTGATCTCTGTTGTTTGGAGATTGACTGTAATAGCGGGAAATATCCAGCCTCCCCCCCCCCCCCCCCCGGCAGCTGGCAGCCCTGAGTGAGGCCCTGAGTGCGAAACTAAGGGGAAGGAGACTGGGGTTGGAGCTGTTAACCCTTTCTCTCCTGCACTGTTTTCCAAATCTAAATTCTGCATCCCACTTGCCCCGAAGCTACTACCGTCCTTCACTAAAGGAAAATAAAGATGCCTGGTTTTTTTATTTTCTGTTTTTCCCTTGCAGGAAGTGAACGGCAAAAAGTCTGTGGATTTATGCTACACTACGATCCAGGCGCTTGCACACGAAAGCTGATACCTTGAATAAAAACTTTTGTTGGTCTTAAAGGCGCCACTGGACTCAAACTTGGTTCTGCTACAAAATTCAGGGCTCTTTTTGTAGAAAAAGCCCAGCAGGAACTCATTAGCATAATAGGCCGCACCCCATGCCTTCTCTTGGCTGTGGGGAGCCCAGGCAAACCTTCCCCGATCCTTCCAGGGCCCCCCCTGGCTTGCCCGCCTTGGAGTTGCTGGGTGGGAGTGTCGCTCTCCAGGCCTTCCCTCTGTAGCCACCAGGCCTGTAGCCAGGATTTTTTAATTTGGGGGGGCTTTAAATACGTCAGGGGGCACCCTGTGCACACACCCCCAGGGAACACCACATATAAAATAAAAAATTGGAAATCACAGAGCCTGGGCTGGATGGGAAGTCGGGGGGGGGCCTTGGCAGTAAATTGGGGGGCCAGGCCCCAAGATGCCCCACTGTAGCTACAGGCCTGGTAGCCACGCCCACCCAGAGATTTGGGCTGTAGTGGATGTGGCCAACTCTTAAGCCAGCCGGAGCTCCGTTCCTGTGCGTTCCTGCCCCAAAATACCCCTGGCTATAATACTGTGTTTTCCCATTGAACGGCTGCAAGGCGCTTAGGGGTGACGGGCAAGTTAGATCAGGAAAATTGTGCAGGGGAGAGAATTAAACACCCCCCACCCACCATGCTGTTTAGGGTTAGCAACCTTAAGGTGAGGTCTGGAGGTCTCCAGAAACGATCTCCGGACGACAGAGATTAGTTCCCCCGGGCTGAAATGGCTGTTTCAGAGGGGGGACTGTAGAGCATCACAACCCCGCAGAGCTCTCTCCCCAAAATTCCCACCTTCCCCAGCTGCCGCCCCCAAATCTCCAGGAATTCCCCACAGCTGGAGATGGAAATGCCAGCACTGCTGCTTCCTCAGTCAGCAGCTCCTGCCTCCTGCGGCTGGATTTCGTTTTTCAAAACAGAAAAGAGAAGAAGACCCATCACAGTGCAATGTTCCCTCTAAGCTGAGTTAGTGTGAGCCAGCTCACAGTTTTTTAGCCTCCAACTCACACATTTTTGTCTTCGCTCAGGAAGGATGGCTCCAGAGCAAACTGATTGACGCAGTAGCCAAATCGCTTGCTCACAACTCTAATGCCAGCAGCTCACAAAGTAGAATGTTTTGCTCACAGGTCTCCACAGCTTAGAGGGAACATTGATCACAGGTCCTCTACACCTGGCAAAATGTTGAGCCAGTCAGGACGAGACAACTGAGCCAGGTCTGGAACGCCTGTAAAACTGTGTCCTTTCAAAACGAACCCCCCCCCTCCCCCGGGTTTCTGATGTCAACAGATTTCAAGTCCGGCAGACCAGAAGCAATGAAGGTTTCGGAAAAAAGGAAAGAGGCTTAGGACCGACAACACCACGACCTTCTGTTCTCACGCGCCCTGCCCAGAAAATTAAATGATCTGTACTTTACCTGGTTTTGCAACTCCGTAGCCTTTTGGGCACTGTTGGTACGGCTGACACCGAGCACATGTTTCAAAGAGCCTCGCTTTACAAAATTCGTGAGGGGGACACCAGCAGTATCGGTTTTGAGTGCGAGTGCATTCCTGGATCTCCACCAATCCTAATCGGGAAGCAAGGAATTTGGGCTTTAGAACCACAGAGGCAAGAGCCCTCACTGTCAGAAAAGCCAATGATTCGAGGGGAAAGGCAAAAATTGCAAAGGAAAAGTATGGATGCGTCATGGGTGAGACGGCTTGTAAATATTCATTTCCCTATTCATACAGAGTAGCCCCATACAGTGTTCCCTCTAAGCTGAGTTGGTGTGAGCTAGCTCAGTTTTTTAGCCTCCGGCTCACACATTTTTGTCTTCGCTCAGGAAGGATGGCTCCAGAGCAAACTAATTTATGCAGTAGCCAAATCGCTCGCTCACAACTTTAATGCCAGTAGCTCACAAAGTAGATTTTTTGCTCACAAGACTCCACAGCTTAGAGGGAGCATTGGCCCCACACACCATCTGGCGTAGTGGTTAGAGTGACAGGCTAGGATCCAGGAGATCCAGGATCGAATCCTCAGCTCTGACATGGAAGCTCACTGGGTGACCTTGGGCCAGGCACAGACACTCAGCCTTACCTACCTCACAGGGTTGTTGTGACGATAAAACGGAGGACCAGAGAATGACGTAAGCCTCTCTGGGTCCCCACTGGGGAGTAAGGCAGAACGTAAATGAAGCCAGTTTGGTGTAGTGGTGAAGTGCGTGGACTCTAATCTGGGAGAACCGGGTTTGATTCTCCACTCCTCCACTTGCAGCTGCTGGATTTCTTTTAGCGTTTTTCTTGATTTTTAAAAAATGTATAAAAATGATATACAGATGGCATTGGACGCCAGATAGATTGCAAAAATGTTATACAAACGTCTCAGGGAATTGCTGGAGGTGTAAAAACAACATAGGAACACACTTCCATATTTGGTGGAAATGCGATAAAATTAAGAGATTCTGGAAAAATCACTAAACAACTGATAAAAGATGTTACAGGAATAGATTTACCGCTTACACCAGAAATCTTCTTATTAAATATTATACCGGATGGATTTAAATACAATGATATATGTATTATTGTATATATAGTCACAATGTCGAGAATATGTATTGCAAAGAATTGGAAATCGGATTGTATACCGAGTAAGGAAGAGTTAATTAGCATTCTCTATAATATAATTGAAATGGACAAGTTGAACATGTTTTTGGCGGGAAAAACAGAGGAAAAATTTAAACAGAAATGGCAAAAAGCCATAAAATTGTATGAAGAAAAATTATAATTTAAAACCCCCACTTGTTAAAAAAGAGGGATAAATGTATGTATGTTATGAAAAACTGAAAATAAAATTATTTTTAAAAAATTTAAAAAATGTATTGGCTTTATGTCTTGGGTTTTAGGCTGTTTGGTGGGCAGGGTACAAGGGCTTTAAATGAATCCCAATGACCCTGTGAGGTTGCTTACATGGACAGAGCAGTGACTGGCTCAAAGTGAGCTTCCTGGCTGAATTGGACGTTGAACCCAGGTCTCTCCAAGCTTAGCTTGATGTTCTACCCATTAAGCGGCGTCATCTGACGCAGGCGGGACTTCCACCAGGGAATTCTGGGAATCAGGGGTTCTTGTTCTACTGGCTCCCCTCTCACATCTAGGGCCTGAAAATTCAAACTGGTTAAAGAGAGAGAGAGAGGTTGCTACTCAGTACCTGGTTTGCATCTGGGAGAGCAGCCCAAACAGCGGACAGCTGAATTCGACGTCTCTGTATAGGTGTTCACCTCGCAGGCTTCACACTGTGTGTTGATGCTCTCGTTGCAGTGGTGGCGCACTCGAAAACCTGTCACGGGAAAGAGGAAAAGGTCACGGTGCCAGGCTACGGAAGCTGCATTTTATTTCGGCTAGCCTGATCTTATCAGAGCTTGGAAGCTAAGCAGGGTCCGCCCTGGTTGGCACTTGGAAGGGAGACCACCGAGGAAGCCCAGGGTCATAAGGCACAGGTAAGCAACGGCAAACCAACTCTGAAGGTCTCGTGCCTTGAAAACCTGATGAGGTCACCATAAATCAGTTATAACTTGACAGCAAAACATTAATAATCTTCAATTTCGAAGGAGGAGGAGATTGGATTTATACCCCGCCCTTCACTACCTGAAGGAGTCTCAGAGCGGCTTACTGTCAGGTTTTTTAGTCAGGGCACACCACACAAGGCTTCTTCAGAAGATAAGTGTTTATTGGTAGTCCAGTACTAAAGAACACGTATACAGCTTGTGTCAGGAATAGCCTGCAGTATAATGGCCTCTGACTTATAGTGTAATCAAACTCCCCCTCCCCCCAATGAGCTGAAGCCAATGACTATAGTTCGCGCCCGCAGGCGGAAGCAAGCAAGCGAGCGGGCAAGGCGCAGAAACCGTTAGCTTTCCCAGCCGAGTTAATTGCAGCTGGGAACAACACCAAGGTCAAGCCAGAGATAGGGCACAGAAGCTGGACAGGGATGAGCTGAGGAGGAGGTGCACCCCTCCACATTCCAGATCTATGGCACATTCCAGATGTGGCACCCCTCGACGTTCCAGATCCCTTCCCCGCCCCACAACAGACACCCTGTGAGGCAGGTGGGGCTGAGAGAGAGAGCTCTTTTGAGACCACCGCTCTTAACCACTGCACCATGCTGGCTCTCAGCACCTGGGGCTTCTCAGTTTAGAAAAAAGACCATGAAGGATATGATGGAGATTTATAAAATCAGACAGGCGGTGGAGAAAATGTACAGAACAAACTGTTTCCTCCTTCCTAAAATACTACAACTCAAGAGCACAAAAGCACACCAGCGTAGCTCTGTCTAATGCATCCATGTAGGCCACTGCAGCTCTGTTCTTCCTGTCTTTTTCTTTGTGTTTCCTGCCCCCTTAAGAAGAGTCCAGTAGTCATAAAGAGTCATGGCGGATCAGACCCACCTCCTGTATCCCACCCACAGCGGCCAGCCAGTCGCCTCCAGAAAGCCCACAAGCAGGGCAAGAAGGCAACAGCCCTCTTTCTGCCGTATGCCCTCTCCACCAATTGATATTCACGGGCAGATTGCTCCCAGTCATGGAGGCTCCATGGAGCTCTCATAGTTTCTCGCCCTGGCGAGACCTCTCCCCCATGAGCAGGTTCGGACACTTATTGCCCATAGCAACAAAGGAGGAGGGCCCCACATTTCACACCAGCAGCACTTTCCTTTGGACCTTGACCTTTGGATCCAAGTTGAATTGAGTATCCACAGGGCTTTTTTGGCAGAAAAAGCCCAGCAGGAACTCATTAGCATAATAGGCCACGCCCAACAACAGAAACACATTAGCATATCCAGCCACACACATGAGAGCATAGCTCATTAGCATATTAGGCCGCACCACCATGTTACCAGAAGTGTGCTCATCCAGCCACACCTACCTTTTGCTTCTTATTCTGTTTACCTTGTTTGTTGTCAAAACCCAGGGCCCTTTTTTTGGAGCAGGAACTCCTTTGCATGTTAGGCCACACACCCCTAATGTAGCCAATCCTAATGTGTTACTGCTGTTGGGTGTGGCCTATTATGCTAATGAGTTCCTGCTGGGCGTGGTCAACTCGGGAGCCAGCTGGAACTCCGTTCCTGTGTGTTCCTGCCCAAAAATAGCCCTGATGTATCCTCAAGCAGAGGACTTTCACATCACCCAGTACCTGATCCTGTTAACCGGCGATGCCAAAGAATGAACCTGGGACTTTCTGCATGCAAAAGAGGCTCCTCCACTGAACCACAGACTCTCACCAAGCCAGCTAGAAACAGACTTGGGAGTTCCCGGAACCCACACTGGCTTGCACATGTGAAAGGGTCTCTACTGGTTTTGAGCTGCCTGCCTGCATAATGAGTAATGCATTCATTTGGTGTAGTGGTTAGGAGCGTGGACTCTAATCTGGGAGAGCCGGGTTTGATTCCCCACTCCTCCACATGCAGCTGCTGGTGTGACCTTGGGTCAGTTGCAAGTTCTCTCAGAGCTGTTCTCTCACGAGCAGTCCTCAAGAGAGCTCTCTCAGCCCCACCTACCTCACAGGGTGCCTGTTGTGGGGAGGGGAAGGGAGAGGAGATTGTAAGCCGCTCTGAGACTCCTTCAGGTCGTGAAGGGCAGGGTGTATACCCAATCTCCTCTCCTCCTCCTCCTCCTCCTCCAGGTGGCACTTGTAGGTCTCCTCCTATTGCAATTGACCTCCAGATGTCCAAGGTCAGTTCCCCTGGAGAAAAATGGCTGGTTTGGAGGGTGGACTCTATGGCATTACGCCCTGCTGAGGAGGGCTCTTTTTGTAGCAGGAACTCATTTGCATATTAGGCCACACCCCTAATGTAGCCAATCCTCCAAGAGCTTACAGAGCTCTTCTTACAGGAGCTACTGTAAGCTCTTGGAGGATTGGCTACATTAGGGATGTGTTGCTTAATATGCAAATGAGTACCTGCTACAAAAAGAGCCCCCAAACCCCGCCCTCCCCAGGCTCCACCCCCAAACTCTCTGAGTATTTCCCACCTCAGAGCTGGCCCCCCTGGCCTGCATGAATTCTTCACCATGGCAACTAAATCCCTGCCTCTGCATTCTTCCTAAGCGTGTTTACACTTCTACGTTTCTATGCACTCTGTCGCCCCCTGTATCCCACCTGATTATGTACAGCCTTTTTGTCACCACCTATTTATATTATCCTGCTGTCTTTTGTTTGTGTTTGTTTTTTCCCTTGCTCAAGTGAACTTTTCATGCACGAGAAAACAAACATAACTTGAGAGTTTGGCCCCTGGTTTCTAGAGAGCAATAGTGTTCTCCCTCCAGTGCTCTCTGGAACCTGCTCTTCCGGTCATTGCCCCCTTCCAAGTTCTAAAACAGGAAACCCAACAATCACGCCTGACGTTTGCCCCTCGGCAGAACGGCGCAACCCGGGCTGTGTCTGTGCAGTGCCGGCTTCCTGTTATTGAGCAGTATCTTGGGAGTGGAGAGCAGTTGCTTAATATGACAAGTAAGGAAAACCAGATGGCTCTGAGGGGTTTGCGAATCTTGGCACGTGCAACGCGGATTGCAGACTTCTGCCAGCCTGAGAGTTGCCAACCTCTAGCCACGGCCTGGAGATCTCCTGGAATTAGAATTCATCTCCAGGCAACAGAGATCAGCTATCCTGGGGGAAATGGCAGCTTTGGAGGTTGGGGTCTGCAGCCCCTCCTCTCCCCATCACCCCCAGGCTCTGTGCCAAAATCTCCAGGAATTTCCAAGTCTGGAGTTGGCAACCCTAAGAGGCCGTAACAAGTAAATCACACATGCCACTGTGCGTTGGAGGAGGACTGTAGGGGAAGAGGATGTACGCTTTCACATGCCTCACTCGGTTTGGCTAATGGAAACCAAGCTAACCGTGCTGACACTGTTGTTAATATATGAGGGGCAGGGAGAAGAAATCATATCTTCTGAAAGGCAGCCTTGTTTTGTCCTTTAAAATGTTGATAACAGTGCAGAAAGCCTAGTTTCCATTAATGAGACAAAGAGGGGGGATTGAAGGGTTAAATCCCTTCTTCTTTCCATCACGGGCCCAATCACAGCAGAGCCCCTGCTGAGCTGCAGGAAGGTCACAACTGCTTACCAGAACGGGATGGCTTGCCTTGTGTGATACACTAGCTGTGCTCCCAAAGTAGTTACACGCGTAAGTGAAACCAGTCTGTATTGGCACATCTCATTTGTCCAGCCTGCTGCACAAACTATGCCGTGAAGAAATCTTTGCAGCTTGGAGTGTTTTTGTTTTAACATTTTCCCCCCCGGGGCCTTATAGAATTTTTGGCATTACTTGACCCCCGCCCAGCAAGAGTAACAGGAAGGGAAACAGGAACAATCAAGCAAGGATGGAAATGATAGTGGCAGCGGCGGGCTTATGGCTCAGGCTCTGCAGGCAGGAGATCCCAAGTTCAGTCTGTGGTATCTACAGTGAAAAGGTTCAGTGAAAAGGAAAGGACCGCCTGTCATTTCCCCAGAAAGCACTTTTCTGGGGACACCTCCTTTGGAGACTGTAACTTGGACCCCATAAATGCAATCCTCACCAACCTTGGGGAGCAAGTAGAGGAGAGTCAGCCAGAGATCCCCTGTCCGTTTGGGGTCTCTAGCTTGCACAGGATCTGTTCTACATGCTCCTGAACAGCCTGAACCAGTACCTATCAAAATGACAGATGACAGGCGGTCATTTTGATGGGTGCAGGTTTAGGAGGTTCAGGAGTGTATAGAATGGATCCTGTGCACGCTAGAGATACCAAACTTGAAGAGCATGTAGAGGAGCATTCAGGGGAGATCCACTGCGAGTTAGGTGTCCCTAACTTGCACAGGGTCTGTTCTATACTCTCCTGGACCTGCGTCCATCAAAATGACTGAGGTTCAGGAGCGTATAGAATGGATCCTGTGCAAGCTAGAGATATCAAAGTCACAAGGCACCTCCCACAGATGCTCCTCTACACGCCCTCCAAATCGTTGCTTTGAAGTTCTGTAAACATTTTGATTGAGCGGAGACAGTCTATCTGGGAATGTCTCCACTCAGGAACGGGCAGGAACCTCCACGAACGGCTTGAAAGTTCATGGAAAGTTCGTGCCAGGCGACCTGCCACGAACGTGACTCCGCGAAGCACAAACCGGCCAAAATTCATCACGAACCTTTGTTCGTGAGCTGGTTCGTGCCCATCCCTAATCTGACAGTAGTTGATGTGAAAGACCCGGGAGACCAACTGCAGTCAATATAGACAAGACTGCCCTTGATGGACCCTGCCCTTATGCATGCAGTTCAATATTTTTCCCCCCCTTTACAGTTCAATATGGACACTGTTTTGAAAGATCCTGTTGTCTGTTTTGTGCATGTGCAAAAGTAGGAAGTACGGGGCGGGCAGTGAAATCACAGCCTTCCTTCTGGCAATGGCTAAAAAGTGTTCTTTGGGGCACACTTGCACAACGTTCCTTTGCTTCTTTCCTTGAGTGGCACGTAGGCACTTGCAGCATAGCAGGGATGGTTGCAGAAAATATTGCATGAACTCCCTGAATTCTACCCGGAGTCAGGAGGGCAGGGTTGTTTTATTATTATTATTTTTAATATGACCATGATGGGGGGGGGGCTTAATAGTGTGCGTAAAGTGCTGTCAAGCTGCAGCCGACTTATGGCGACCCCTCATGGGGTTTCAAGGGAAGAGACATTCAGAGGTGTTTTGCCATTGCCTGCCTCTGTGTAGCAACCCTGGACTTCCTTGGCTGTCTCCCACCCAAGTACTGATCAGGGCTGACCCTGCTTAGCTTTCGAGATCAGACAAGATCAGGTTATCAGGGTCAGAGTGGGCTTAATCATAGAATCATAGAGTTGGAAGGGGACCTCCAGGGTCATCTACTCCAACCCCCCACACAATGCAGGAAACTCACAAATACCTTCCCCCCACACCCCTGGATGCTGGGCTAAGTGGACCATTGGTCAGATCCAGCAGGGCTTTTCTTATGATCTTTTAAGGAAATGAGTAAAAGAATGAATGTTCTTTGAAAGAAAGAAATTAACTCTGGAAGAAGAAGAAGAAGAAGAGGGGGAGGGGGGGGTGGGACTGAGAGCGCTCTTTTGAGAACTGCTCTTTCAAGAACAGCTCTGACAGAACTATGGCTTGCCCAAGGTCATCCAGCAGCTGCAAGTGGAGGAGCAGGGAATCAAACCCAATTCTCCTAGATTAGAGTCCCTGTCAAATTGGCTCTCCTTTCTTCACGCACACATTGGTTAACGGATGCCTACTCGGCAGCGGCGATCTTACAATCCCATACCAAGGCTCCTCGAGGAAATGGGACAAGTTACACCCAGTTTCCCCTCTCTGTCGCAATGCCTTTTTAATTTGCCTCCCTCTCCAAAGGTTCTCTGAAAAGTAACCAGTTGGCTCTGTCCCAGATTCAGATTTCTGCATTCACACAGCAGCAGGCACCTTACCTGGGGGACAGAAGTGACAACACATGCGGGCGGTCTGATCGTAGTACTCGTTGTCCGGATCCTGGCATTGGCTTGGGTGCTCGGGTCTGTACGGCAGGGAAGGAGCCTGCAGAAATCAGAGGAAAAGGTTCGTTAGTTCCAAGTGTGATCAAAGCTCTTTCATTATTCTTGTCTCAAGTGAGGGAAACAATGGCAGCAGATCTCTGGCTTCCGGTGTGTCTTTTTTTCTCTCCAGGGCTTCCTCTTCGCTTGGAAAGAAAGACCACAGAGAGCACAAGAACCTAAGAGGAGCCCCGCTGAATCAGACCAGCATTCTGCCTACTCATCCAGCAATCTATTTCACCCAGGGGGCAACTGGTTGCCCGAGAGGGCCAAAGATCATGGCACAGAGGCAGCTGATATTCCTCCCCCCAGCACTGGGACTCAGAAGTATAGTGCCTCTGAATGGCTGCTTTCCCACACATTGGATAATGCACTTTCAATGCACTTGCAAACAATTGCTAAAGTGCAGTGAAAGTGCATTATCCAATGTGTGGGGAAAGGAGGCAATTTCGAGGTTCCCTTCGGTCATCGTTTCTAGACTGTCCCGAAACTGCAACATCCAGCGTCTGGGAAAGCAGCCAATCTAGAGGTTCCCTTCGGACACTGTGACTAAATGGAACCTCTAGACTGGCACTTTCCCACACATTGGATAATGCACATTCAAGTTCAGTGCTCCCGCTAAGCTGAGTTAGTGTGAGCTAGCTCACAGTTTTTTAGCCTCCGGCTCACACATTTTTGTCTTAGCTCAGGAAGGAGGGCTCCAGAGCAACATTGGGGGGAGGGCAGGGTATGAATTGAATGAATAAATAGATACATAAGTGTAGGAGAGATCGGCACAATCCTTTCAGCAGGCCTTGAGCAAAGCCCATCCATGTGTGGGAAAGGACAGTATCGAAAGCTCTTCGTTTGCTTGCTTCCGCGCGAGGGAGACGAAGCCACAAAAGCGGCACCAAAGCAAGTCAGCTGGAGAAGTGTCCCGACCGTAACAAAGTTCTCATTCAGAAACGACGATTCGTGAACACCACGCCGTCTGTGCCAGCGGAGGTGGCGGCAGGAAGAGATCCCTCGCCAAGATGTCGCGAACCTCCATTAGCGCAGCGAGGCTGGTTCTTCCTGCAGCCTACTGCTCGGACTCTGACACAGGAACGAAGCGAGGCCAAAACCTGAAGCTTAGATATATCCTGCCTCTGATCTTTACCGCAAATCTTATGCAATCTCATTGTGTCTGCTCTCGGGCAGGAAAGATACACATCAGATGCTCGGCGGGCAGCAAATACCCTTTAAGTTGCTTATTTAATCACTATTTCAGAAAAGAGATTAGGGGAAAATAAGAAGCCTCCCTTGATACACAGCAATACACTATGTCAGCTTTTTTAGGGGGGGGGACAACATCTTTGCTGACCTTCGTTGTAAATGTTTATTTGTTTAGGGTAACCAGGAACTGGAGCTGCGGTGGCTCAAGTGGTTAAGACGCTGAACTCCAGGCTGTGGAAGGTCAGTAGTTCAGCAGTTCGAGACCCGGGTGCCACATGATGGAGTGAGCTCCCGTCTCTAGTTCCAGTTCCTGCCAACCTAGCAGTTCGAAAGCAAGAAATTGCAAGTAGATAAATAGGTACTGCTTCGGTGGGAAGGTAACAGCACTCCGTGCGCCTTGGTGTTTAGTCATGCCGCCCACATGACCACAGAAATGTCTTCGGACAGCGCTGGCTCTTCAGCTTTGAAACGGAGATGAGCACCGCAACCCTAGAGTCGGATTCGACTGGCTTTCGAGCAAGGGAACCTTTACCTTTACCTTAACCAGGAACTATCAAGTTGATGTGCAGTTCTATCGTAGGCATGTGCTCTCTGAAGTTAAGCCCTGCTTTGTTCCATGGGGTTTACTCCATGGTTAGTTTGTGTAGGACTGCAACCTTAGCTACTGGGTCATTGCAAAACAGAGAAGTGAGAAGGCCGGGGTAAACGGTTGGCATGGAGGGGAGCTCGCTGCAGCCCACGACCAATGCTCCCTCTAAGCTGTGGGGTCTCGTGAGCAAAAATTCTACTTTGTGAGCTACTGGCATTAAAGCTGTGAGCGAACGATTTGGCTGCTGCATAACTTAGTTTGCTCTGGAGCCCTCCTTCCCGAGCTAAGACAAAAATGTGTGACCTAGCAAAGGGCATCTCTGTTGACTAGAAATGCTTTCAGGTCATAAGTTACATGGCATGGCACAGAATGGAATTGTTCCTGCTTACTTAGTTGCATCCGAAGTGTATATTCTATAAACCCCAGACTTAGAGTACGTTTCAATCTTGTTCCACAAATACTAGCTAGTTGAACTCAGATTCTTTCATTTGTATAAGATGGCTGCTAACCCAACTGTATTATTAGAAAACACGTTAAAAGTTTTAAATAGTCAAGTTTTAGATAGATGTCCTGAACGGAACATCAAGAATATTATTAATGTTAAATAGTTTGCATTGTTTGGGATTCTCTGTCTCAATTGTTTTATATTTATTTTATTAAAATTATTAAAATTTAAAAGAAAGAAATGTTTGACTTAGCGCATGAGGAATGGGGGGGGGTTACCCCAAAGGCGGGGCCAGTCCCAGCTCTTTCTCCAGGGTCCCTCCAAAGCCAGAGTCACAGGGGGGTTTGCGGTTGTCTGTCTTGTCACATGCTGAGGGACACGGGCAGCGTTCCCTCAAAGCTGAGTTAGTGTGAGCTAGCTCACAGTGTTTTAGCCTCCAGCTCACACATTTTTGTCTTAGCTCCGGAAGGACGGCTCCAGAGCAAACTAATGTATGCAGTAGACAAATCGCTCCCTCACAACTTTAATGCCAGTGGCTCACAGAGTAGAATTTTTGCTCACAAGGCTCCAAAGCTTAGATGGAGTACTGGACATGGGGAGTCAGGGCAGGTTACAGTTGACCCAAGTCAACAAGAAGAGGAGGAAGAGATTGGATTTAAACCCCGCCATTCACTACCCAGAGGAGTCTCAGGGCAGCTTACAAACTCCTTCCCTCTCTCCTCCTGTGAGGTAGGTGGGGCTGAGAGAGCTCTGACAGAAACTGCTCTTTTTTCAAGAACACCTCTGGCTTGCCCAAGGTCATCCAGCAGCTGCAAGTGGAGGAGTGGGGAATCTAACCCGGTTCTCCCAGATTAGAGTCCGCGCACTTAACCACGACACCAAACTGGCTCTCAAGGAACGGAAGAAGCAACTCAGAGGCCAGGCCAGGATTGCCAACTTCAGGTTGGGAAATTCCTGGAGATTTGGGGGCAGGGCTTAGGAAGAACGGCACCTAGGGAGCAGAGCTTAGGACAGACCCGTCTTCATCCAGAGCCAAAAATGGTTGAAATTTGTTCTCTCGAGGGCTCTGGTTTTTGAAAGATAGTTTATCCGTTGGAGTAGGATGTGGGTTTTCTCTGTGAGCGTGGTATTTTATTGTTGCTCTGTTGTACACCATCCAGAGCTTTATGAAAGGACAGAGTATCTATATGATGGAGAGCACGGTCAAGTCGCAGCCGACTTATGGCGACTCCATAAGGTATTCGAGACAAGAGGTGAATAGAGGTGTGCTGGCCTTTGCCTGCCTGCTAATGACATTGCCCAGCATCTTGGCGAGAGCTCTCTACCTGCCTCTGGACAGCAGCCCTTGCTTAGAGTCCAGGAGCTGATGAGATCAAGCTAGACCGAGCCACCCAGGTCAGGGCATCTACGTTTGATATACATGCGCACGAAAAATGAGTAAACACTTTGCGCAGGAAAAGCACCAGGGCAATACAAAACCACACCGTCTGCAAATGTGAGCCGGCTGCGTTTCCAAACGAGAAGCCTTCAGCGCAACTGAACCTTCGGAGGAAGGAAAATAAATTTTTGCTGCTGAGCAAATTATTTTTAGGACGGCTCTCTTTGCGGTTCCGTGCCAATCGAGAACCTCAACTGCAGTTTGCCGAAGTCAGACTCAATGAACCAAAGCGAAAAACACACCGCCCTGCAACCTTGTTTAATGACTTGAAATCTACAGTTCAAAGACCAAGGGAAATAAGAAAGACCACATTTTTTTAAAAAAGTATATCCTGTGGGTAACGTTTTCCAGCAGGGCTTTATCTCATCTGCCGCAGCCTCTTATCGTAACGGAACCAAACAAATGTGTGTTCTTCTGCGATTCTCTGGCTTTGTTTGGAAGGAACAGGAAGAAAGGTCCGTTTGCCCCTTTCTGGTTGAGCATCGAGAGCCTGTGGCATGCTGTTTTTCCAGCCTGTGGACTCTTGAGTTTTGGTGAAGCACATCTGGTTTTATGGACAAAGCTAGGTAAAATGCAGCTTCAGGTGTGAGATTATTGGTGGTGGGAAGTACTGTCAAGTCACAGCCTATTTATGGCAACCCCATGGGGCTTTCAAGGCAAGAGACATTCCGAGGTGGCTTGCCAGGGCCTGCCTCCACATCACGACCCCGGTATTCCTTGGAGGTCTCCCATCCAAATACAAACTAGGTCCAGCCTTGCTCAGCTTCCAAAATCTGACGAGATCGAGCTCGCCTAAGCGATCCAGGTCAGGGAGTGAGATTATTAGGGGCCCCTAAATTTATTTTGGCCATCGAGTCACAGTTGATTTATGGAGACCCCATAGGTTTTCAAGGCAAGAGACAGAAGTGGTTTGCCATTGCCTGACTCTGCATAGCAGCCCTGGGCTTCCCCGGTGGACTCCTATCCAAGCACGAACCAGGGCTGACGCTTCTTAGCTTCCGAGAACTGATGAGATTGGGCTGGTCTAGGCTATCTAGGTCAGGACTCCCACTAAAAAAATACTAAATTACCTTTGGTTTTTCAGTACCTCCATGGGGTAGGGTTGCCAGCTCTGGGGTGGGAAATACCAGGAGATTTTTTGGGGGGGAGGAGTTGAGCCTGGGGAGAGTGAGGTTTGGGGAGGAGAGGGACCACAGCAGGATACATTGCCACAGAGTCCACCCTCCAAAGCAGCAATTTTCTCCAGGGCTTCCTCTTCGCTTGGTGGTCTGGGGCTCAATTATAACAGCAGGAGATCTCTAGGTGCCACCATAGGGCCTCTCACACTCTGCACACTTC